AGTGGGGTATTGAAATCTCCTACTATTATGGTGTTGCTTTCTCTTTCTCACTTCATTTCTATCAATCAATGTTTACTTCATATATTTGGTTGCTCTGGTACAGGATACATATATATTATAATTGCTATATCTTACTGGTGAATTCACCTTTTTATCATTATAGTGTCCTTCTTTGTCTCTTACTTAAAGCCTATTTAATCTGATATAAGTATTGCCACCCCTACTCTTCTTTTGATTGCTGTTTATATGGGTAATCTTTTTCCATGTTTTCACTCTCAGGCTATGTGTGTCCTTAAATCTAAGTGAGTCTCTTGTAGACAGCATATCATTGGACCTGGTTTTTAATTTATCTTTTGATAGGGCAGTTTAATCTATTTCTATTTAAAGTAATTACTACGCCAGGCATGGTGGCTCATACCTGTAATCCTAGCACTTTGGGAGGCTGAGGCAGATGGGTCACTTGAGGTCAGGAGTTTGAGACTAGCCTGGCCAACATGGCAAAACCCTGTCTCTACAAAAAATACAAAAAAAAAAAAAAAATTAGTCAGGCATGTTGGTGCACACCTATAGTCCCAGCTGCTCAGAAGGCTGAGGCAGGAGAATCGCTTGAACCCGGGAGGCAGAGGTTAGCTGAGATCACACCACTGTGCTCTAGCCTGGGTGACAGAGTGAACCTCTGTTTAAAAATAATAATAATAAATAAATAATAAAAATACATAAGTATTGATGGGAAATGACTTACTTTTATCATTTTATTATCTTCTATATTCCTTGTAACTCTTTTGTCCTTATCTTTTTCTCTTGCTGTCTTATTTGTGATTTAAAAAATTATTTAGGATCATATTTTGATTCCTTCCTCATTTTCTTTTGTGTGTTTCCTATAGGTATTTCTTTTCTGGTTGCTGTGGGGCTTATATAATACATTTTATAGTTATGATAATCTATTTTAAGATGATAACAACTTGACTTCAATCACATACAAAAACTGTACTATTCCACTAGACTCCTTTATGTTATTGTTGTAACAAATTTCATGTTTTTATATTATGTATCCATTAACATAATTTTATAGTTTTTATACTTTTATCTTTTCACTTCTATATCAAAATTAAAAGCTGTTTATACGATATTTGTAATGTTACATGTAATGCAATGTTATAGTACTATAATATGTATTTGTGTGTGTGTGTATATATATATGTGTGTATATATATGTATACATATATATACACACACACACACACACACACACCCCTTTTCCAGTAAATTATATGCGTTCATTTGCTTTCATGTTACTATCTTCATGTTACTTTCATTTCAACTTGAAGGACTTCCTTTAGCATTTCTTATAAGGCAGATTTCTTTGTAAGAGGACTATTATGTCTTGCCTTGGTTTTCTCATTTGCAAAATGGAATGATAGTGGAAATAAATACATCTTTGAAAAGTTTTATGTGACTTGTAAATATATCTGCAAAATTTAGTTATCATAATTATTACTTTAGCATGTATATTGAGGAAGTTTCCATTATGACATTATGAATTAGTGTAGATTGCAAGGCTTGTGTGTGTTGTGTGTGTGCATGTGTGTATGTGTTGTGTGTGTGTGTGCACATGCCCACTAGGTGTAGTTCTGAGGTAGAGACAGAGACTGTTGCCTTAAAATCTGATTGTCCTTTGACCCATAAAATTATGACTCTGCCTGCTCTGGGAACAGTCACTTGCTTCTCCTGAGCGGGGGTGTTCAGTTGCTGATTTCCTAAACCAATTTCCTAAATGGGTAATCGTGTTCTGACTCATACAATTCCCCCTACATTTCCTGACTATTTCAGGTGACTATCTTTTCCTCTTTGCCCTTAATGGAGATGTAATGAAGTCACATGTTTCAAAGTCGTTGCTGTGTGTCTGGCTGGGGCGGACTACTCTTACATAATGTCTCACTAGAGGGTCGGAATACAGTTGGCATACGTATTCTACTTCCACCTCAATTTCTAACCACGTTGAAAAGAAGGAGATCTTAAAATGAGAGGTGGCTTTCAGGGTCTAAAGATCCTCTGGCTGAAAGTGTTTAGTTAGTCATTAGTGTTTCAGATGTGTTAAAAGCACAGGCTTTAGGGTCAGTTTGCTTCATTTTTTAAGCTGTGAACGTGGTTGTATGACTTTAACCTTTTGCAGTCTAGTTTCCTCATCTGTGAAAAGGTGATAATAATAATATTTACTTCACAGAGCTTTTATGAAGATCAAATGAGATATTATCTATAAAAATGCTGGCCGGGCGCAGTGGCTCACACCTCTAATCCCAGCACTTTGGGAGGCTGAGGCGGGCAGATCACCTAAGGTCAGGAGTTTGAGACCAACCTGGCCAAAACAGTGAAACCCTGTCTTTACTAAAAATACAAAAAAAATTAGCTGAATGTGGTGGTGGGTGCCTGTAATTCCAGCTACTCAGAAGGTTGAGGCAGGAGAATAGCTTGAACCTGGCAGGTGGAGGTTCCAGTGAGCTGAGATCAGCATGGGCAACAGAGTGAGACTCCATCTCGAAAAAAACAAAACAAAACAAAACAAAACAAAACAAAACAAAACAGCTAAGCACGTTATGTGGCATATGTGTGGGGACCAATGCATGTTGGCATCAGTATGATTATTTTCATTGGTTTGGCCCTTCAGTAAGTCATTGCTGGGCAACTCAAGTCTAGCTGGGTGCTGGAGAGAGAAACATTAAGTATAACAACAGATGATGCAGTAGAACCTCATGCAGCATATATGAGAACAGAGAGAAGAGAAATGTTAGTTGACACTAAGGTCAGTGCATGTTTCCTAGAGGAAGTAGATCTTGAGGGAAAAGTGAAATTTCCCTGGAGAAAAGAGGCAGGAGAGAGAGAGGCATTTGCCTTCCAGAAGCACCATGCAAGTAAATGTATGGGTGAGTTGGGTCTTTCATTCATATAGTCCACTTATAATTATTGAGTTCTCACTATGTGAGGGGTTCTGTGTTTGACTCAGGGAACACAATGATGAGCAGAGCAGAGCAAAACAAAACAAAACAAAAACAAAAACAAAACCTATTCCTGCCCTATGTAGTATGTAACTCTCACTTTTCAGGCAAGACGAGCATGAAACCAATAACCCATAGGAAAGGTGTAGGACATCATTGGATGGTGTAGCCTTGAGACTGACTAGGTGTTAGGATGGGAGGTGTCCAATAGGGCCTCTGTGGGTAACTGAGATTTAAACTGAGACCCATGTGGGAATGGGAGTGAGGTAAGGAGAGACAGAGAAGGTCCTGTGCCAGGAGAACTATGGTGTCTTCTGGGAACTGAACAAAGTCCACTGTGGCTGAGACATAGAGCACATGGGAAAGGTATAGAGAGGACACTGGTGAGATAGTGTGGACAAGACCACAGGGGGTCTTGGTGGTCATTCTAAGGATGCAGGCTTTTGTCCCAAGTGCAATGGGAAGTCACTGAAGTGTTCTGTTTATGCAGAGTAATATTTCAACACTTATGTTTTGAAAAAAAATTCTGCTATGTGCAGCATGCATTAATGGGGATTAAAATGGAAGTGGAAAGACCAGTAAGTAGTTGCCACAAGATGATAGTGACTTGAATTGGAGTAGTGGCAAGAAAATAAACAAATAAATAAACAAACAAATCAACAGTTGTATCTGGTGAGTCCTGAGGCACTTGGTGTAGTTGCAGAATAAGATACATGGTGCTGAGTCACTAACATGATATGTTTGGGCAGTTTTTGAGGAGCAGGGGTATGACATTTCATGCTAAGAAATTTGCATTTATACTATAAAAAGGGCTGATGGAGATGAAGAAGCAGAGAAATGAAATAATCAGATTAGTGTTGTGCATGGAGGGTATTTATTTCTCTTCCCACCTGCTTCTTGAGCTAAGCACTTATTGAATTTAGAGTAATAGACGGGAGAAACAGCACAACATCATTGCAAGCAAAGATTGATGGAAAGCGGATGCTTTTGTGTAACAGCACAAAAGAGATATATGAAAGAGAGGTTAAACTTGTCAGTGCGAAAAGCTATTGATCTTGTAAATGCTTACCCTGAAGCCACGTAAGCCTTCTCTCAGGCATGACCCAAATATTCCAAACCTCCAATGCAGCCGAGGATGCGGATGTAACTGGATAAGGGATGACCACTGTGGAAACACAATGAGCCAAGACACTTTGTGGAAAGGGAGGGGTTTACAAAAGTGTTAAAGGAGCCAAGGGATCATAAGATAGAGGAAGGAGAGAGAGAATGTCTAGTGGAGATGGCTTTCCTCCCTGCTAGGAAGAAGGTGCCACTGGGTAGTGTTCTCAGAGCGTAAAACAGAGGCCCCATAACCATTGAGGAGCTAGGAGTAAGTCAGAGACAGAGGGAAAATATTTGGAAAACCAAATTCATTATGTACTTTCTATAATTTGGACCTCAAGTCAAGGGTCATTTTTAAGGCTCTTGACACTCAACCTCTGACTGGTCAAGAGTAAAATAATCTAGTTATGAATTGGAACACTCTTCCTTCCCTTCCCTTCCCTTCCTTGGGTTGATGTGTTTAAGACACTTAACGTGGGGAGTACTCAGAAGGGATGGAATATTTGGAGGCTTTTGCAGTCGGCTGAGAAAGAAGGCTGTCTGTCCACAGAGACCAAAACAGACATAAGAACTGTTGATCAAGTGGGAGTCTTTGGGAGGATTTAAAAAACTAAAGAAAAAAGAAAAACCAAAATGTTCTTCCTCTGTAAAGTTTTAAGCCTGTTCCACTTAATACGTTTCAGAAAATTTAGTAAGGAAAGATAATTTGTTAACCATTCTTGCTGTGTGTTACAGATAACACTAAATTCACTTAAATACATCTTAGCTTTCAGATAGTAGACACTTTTTCAACAGGTTGTGCTCAGCTGTGCTGTGCCATATTGATTTCTGGGCCTCACTTTTGGTGTTGTACACTGGAGACATTCATTCAGGGAGTGTGTCAAACTTTTAATTTTTCATTTTCAGGTTACAGAACTCAACAATGTGAAGAACATAGCTCGATTGCCAAAGAGCACCAAGAAACATGCCATAGGGATTTATTTCAATGACGATACCTCCAAGACTTTTGCTTGCGAATCAGGTTTGTCTCAGGCAGGGCAGGGGGGCTTTTGCTTTTAGATTTTGAATGGATGCTGGGCACACAGTTTAATCTTTTGGACATTTCCACAGATCTCGAGGCCGATGAGTGGTGCAAAGTACTCCAGATGGAGTGTGTAGGAACACGGATCAATGACATCAGCCTTGGAGAGCCCGACTTACTGGCCACTGGGGTTGAGAGAGAACAGAGTGGTATGTAAAGAAAATTCTCTCCTCTCTTTTTCAAAACTGCTTCTGTCTCCATATAATAAAACATGAGACATCTTCATTATGTAAAGTTTTTGGGGTATAAAAATGCATAAAGAAATTAATAAAATAACCTTTTATCTAATCCACAACCTGTGTTAACATTTCAGTGTATCTTTTTCTTATTTTCTTTTTCCAATTTGTAACATGAATGTATCCACATTAATAATATCAATTAGAAATTTTGGGGAACCTGCTATGTGCCAGTTTGTTGGAAGATGCTTTACTCATCTCAGATTATTTATTATACGTTTCATAGCAACCCTATGGTATAGGTATAATTACATACAGCCCTATGATACAGGTATAAATACATTTCATAGCAGCCCTATGGTATAGGTATAATTCATTTTGCACATGAGGAAACTAAAATTTAGAGGAAGTAAAGACCTTGCTTCAATTCCATTAGCTCACTAGTGTTTGATTCTAGACAATACTGTTGGGCCTATATTTACAGTGTACAGATTTTAAAATGTCATGGGCATTTTTTGGTCTTGCCTTTTTCACTTAAAATGTTATCAACAGCTTTGCAATGCTTTCAATGTAATTCAAACTTTATGAATATTTCACCAAATTTAAACCCATCTAAAATCTGTAATTAAAAAAGTATATATTTTGTTGAAACACTTGAGCCAACTCTGAGCTCAGCACTCAATCTGGGAATAAATAATTTAAAATAATAATGACCAAAATATTCATGAACACTTCAGCAAAAATCAACGTTGATTTACAGAACAAACCTGAATGTGAGGAATCGTTTCTTTGTCTCCTAACAGCTGAGCCTGGGGACAGGGTAGATCAGATCACAGAGCTCTGCTTTAGCTGGTTGACTTGATCTATGAGGGCATGTCACCATGGAAAGGTCTGTGGGTCATCTGGTTTGATTACGGACATGGCAGAGATGGAATTGTACTGACTCTTTCTGTAGGTGCACACTCCAATGTCAGTAAAAAAAATGCTGTCCCTCCCAGTTGGAACTCTGTCTTCATGACACATTTACGATCTGTGACTGTTTTGGATGCAACATATCTACCATAACCCATCTCCATGGAAGTGTTATTGACCGAGACCTAGAAGCGCTGGGTAATTCAGAGGAGCCTCTTTGTAGGTTGGAAAATTGAGTTACAGAGAAGTTGAGTCATTGATGGGATTACACAACCAATCCCCAGGCTCCTCCTTCTCTGGTTCACTAAATCAGGATGCCCCAGGCAGAGAGGATACATAGGAGCCAAGCATAAAGAAAACCTGGCAGGTTTTGATTATGATTCATTTTTTCACCTAGAGTGCTCAGATCAGCACTTTTCACAAATTTGTATTTGGGAAGCAGTATCCTGACTGCACTACAGTCTGAATTTAAAAATTGCTGGGGCCTAGGGGATACCTTTCCCACAGCAGCTTTCTGTGCCTTCGTTTCCTCTTCTGTTAAATGGAAATCATAGCTCTGGTCTACAAGTATCAGGGATTATTATAAATTCAACTAAGTCCTCTCAGGCCCTTTACAATGTTAGTATGACGTCAAGTGATTGTAAATAAAATGGTTACTCTACCACTATTGCTGTTATTCTTTTTAAAATTTTATTATTTTTTCCTACCTCTCCCCTGTTGTTATTCTTGAGTGAGATAGGACTTAGAGAACGTCTAAGCAAATAGATTGATAATGATCTCTCTTACCTTTTACTTTATATAGATAGTCTTTCTTACTTGGAAGTTTCAAGGGGGGAATATGCTCAATTAGAATACATTTTTTTCAAATAATTACTAGAAATCAATGAATGTTTGCTTATTGGGAGCATGAAATAATTTAAAATTTTTGAATAGTAGATAATGGAACACATTTCATAAACACAATCTTGGCATTACTATTTACTAAATTCAACTAAAATCTATGAAAATTCAAATGACTATCTTATTATAAAACAATGTATTTAAAATACCACTAATATAAAATTGTTAATGCCACAATGTCATATGTAGGCAATCTATCATAATGATGCATAGTTGGAAATATATTGGCTATGGTAATATTTTTGTTCATATTTCACTGAAAGATTTTGACTCAAAAACTTCTTAATGAAGTTTCCAGAAATATGGTGACTGTAACTGCAGGGATGAAAATTAGGTTGCAGTAATCAGCCAAGCAGTTTATGTAGAATAATTTTAGTTGCATTTTAGTAATCATCCAAATATGCAATGAACATTTCTTTCCAGTATTTTGCTAAAGAAAGTTCTTTGTTAAAACTAGTTCAAATATATGCATTAGCATTTTCCCAAATTGTTGGCCAGTGAAGTGCATAGTATTACTGTGGAGTTTTGTTTAAATGATTTGGGATACAGTTTTATTCATTTAGTTATAGAAATTACAAGTTGATCAATATAACTTTAATAACATTAAACCATGACATAGTTGTTTTGCACCTGCATCTTTTGTGAGCACAAAAGTGTGGATCTAGTTAATGTGTTCTTGGCAGGAAAAAAAAAATTGCTTTTAATGGTTTTATTGCTTTAGACTTTTATTGGCATACACATTTTTATTATGCAAATTAAAAATTCTAAAAATGGTCTTTGCTCATGTAAATAGTGCTTAGTGTATGCTGACAGTCAGGCTGTATCATTATTATGTTATTTAATAGGATCTGCATTTCAGAAATTATTTTCTGGGACTGTTAATTAATGGGAAAGATTTATCTTTCTGAATATGCAACCAAAATGTAGAATGTGAACTTGAAATGTTTTTAAATGCCTCTGTGTTCCTACAATGTCTTTGATGTTTTATTCCTGGGGATTTTAGACTAACCTTTTGTTTTTCTCCCAGAGAGATTCAATGTGTATTTGATGCCATCTCCTAACTTAGATGTACATGGCGAATGTGCCTTGCAGATTACATATGAGTATATCTGTCTTTGGGACGTCCAGAATCCCAGAGTCAAACTCATCTCTTGGCCGCTAAGCGCCCTGCGGCGGTATGGACGTGATACTACATGGTTCACTTTTGAGGCAGGGAGGTGAGTTTAATGACTTTTAATGACTATTTTTCTGTTTTGTGTGTGTGTGTGTGTGTGTGTGTATGTGTTCATTTTTACCAGGCTTGCATCATATGAGACAGTAGGTTTACATATGAGACCCAACTGAAGTCACTTGAGGAAATTCATAGAGTTGCAATTACATAATATGAGGGGTCTTGTAAAATATTTATATATTCAACATGGCTTTTCTCCCCTGTGGAAGATTCTAATGTTTCACATGCGTGATACAAATTTTCATTACACAGTTTGTTTCCATACCACAAACTGAAGTTGATCCAGGTAAAAACGTTAACAAGGTACCATTTCCTGGGTCAAGCTGAACAGAGGCCAGCTTCTTGATTTTGAGAAACTTTCATATTATTGTTTCACTTATGTTTCCTCATCTGAGCTAACCGTGGTAGATTATTAATATGAGGGGCCATGGAGTTTTTACCAGCTGCAATTTATTGAGTTCCATCTATTTGGCTTACAGTGTAAGGATTCCCATGAATACTGGAAGAGATTCATGCTCAAACTTGCTCTTTGTGATACCTACTAAGCACTTTCTGGGTTTTCTCTTTTTCCTCTTAGGGTTAATCTGGGAGAGATAAAATAGTGCCAATAATATATGGGTTGGTTGCTACCTACAAAAAGACTCCTCTAGTCAGAATCCTATTTTCCTTGTCCTTAACTTTTCCCTCAGAATTTAGGATTCATTTGGAAACACTGCAGATTTTTTTTTGTTTTTGTTTTTTGTTTGTTTTGTTTTGTTTTTGTTTTGTTTTGTTTTGTTTTGTGACACGGAGTCTTGCTCTGTCGCCCAGGCTGGAGTGCAGTGGTGCGATCTTGGCTCACGCAAGCTCCGCCTCCCGGGTTCACGCCATTCTCCTGCCTCAGCCTCCTGAGTAGCCGGGACTACAGGTGCCCGCCACCACGCCCGGCTAATTTTTTGTATTTTTACTAGAGACGGGGTTTTTCACTGTGTTAGCCAGGATGGTCTCGATCTCCTGACCTTGCGCCTTGGCCTCCCAAAGTGCTGGGATTACAGGCATGAGCCACCACTCCCAGCCAGATAAATTTTCTATTTTAGAATTTTAAATGCCTAAATTTTAAGAAGTATAAGTTCTTCTGTATATGGCCTGACATTACACTGAAATTGAAAACCATCAACTTGTGATGTTAAATAACAATTGCTTGTAAAAGCAGACAGTTATTCCTGACAGGAATATGACTCTTGATATAAGGAAAGTAAACACAGAAGTTCTAAACACCCCAATCCATGTGAATGGGTAACAGTAGTGGTCCCCTCTAACTAATCTGTTCATTCCATTTTAATGAACAAAGCCCAATTATTTAAAATTTACGTTTTACCTGTAGTCTCAGCTACTCAGGAAGCTGAGGCATGAGAATGGTGTGAACCTGGGAGACGGAGCTTGTAGTGAGCCGAGATCGCGCCACTGTACTCCAGGCTGGGTGACAGAGTGAGACTCCATCTCAAAAAAAAAAAAAAAAAAAAAATTACATTTTAAATAATCAAAGCCCAATTATTTAAAATTTACATTTTAGAAATATGATCAATTTGATGTTCTTACAACTGTCTGGAAAGTTTTTTACTTTATATTTTTCATACAGCTCTTTTCTGGTCTATTTTATTTTTAAGTACCTAGAAACAAGTTGGTGAATCTTTCAAAGACTATAAAAGTTATCACAAAAAGTAAACCTTTAATGTTTAGAGCAATGTTTTTGTTTTGTGAGAATTACTTATTTATTCTTCTTATAAGAAAATCCCAGTCCAGGCTGGTGGCTTATGCCTGTAATCCAAGCACTTCGGGAGGCCAACACAGGAGGATTGCTTGAGCCCAGGAGTTTCAGACCAGGCTGGGCAACATAGGGAGACCCCATCTCTCCAAAATTGTTCTGTTATAAAAACAATCGCACATGTATGTTCATCACAGCACTATTCACAATAACAAAGACATGGAATCAACCCAAATGCTCATCAATGATAGGCTGGATAAAGAAAATGTAGTACATATATGCCATAGAACACTATGCAGCCATAAAATGAATGAATCATGTCCTTTGCCAGGACAAGGATGGAGCTGGAGGCCTAATTCCTTAGCAAACCAATATAGGAACAGAAAACCAAATACTGCATGTTTTCACTTATAAGTGGGAGTTAAATCATGAGAACACATGGATACATAGAAGGGAACAACACATACTGGGGCCTATCTGAGGGTGGAGGATGGGGAAGGGAGAGGATCAGGAAAAATAAGTAATGGATACTGAGCTTAATACCTGCATGATGAAATAATCTGTACGATAAGTCACCATGACACAAATTTACCTATGTAACAAACCTGTACATTCTGCACATGTACCATGAACTTAAAACAAAAGTTAAAAAAAGGAAAATAAGAATACTTATTCATTACTGGATATATTGTAGAAAAAAATAAAAGCTAATTAAATGAAAAAAAAATTAGCCAGGCATATAGTGCCACACACCTGTGGTCTCAGCTGCTCCAGACACTGAGGTGGGAGGATCACTTGAGCCTCGGAGGTCGAGGCTGCAGTGAGCTATGATCGTGCCACTACAGTCCAGCCTTGGGCGACAGAGTGAGACCTTGTCTCAAAAAAAGAAAAAAACAACAACAAAAGAAAATCCCTATAGAAAATTAATAATTTTTTTGGTAAGGTTGGTGTATTTTTTCCTTTAGGTCTCAGAAATTATGTATGCATTAACTATAACCAGTGAAATCTAAGTATTGAAAATGTTTTATAATATAAATAGACTTTTCTATGACTATTTATCTCAAAACACCTCCATTCATATTTCATATTGATGTGTAAGAGAATTCTGCATCGATCAAGACTCTTTGGATCTGTTTTGGACAGTACTTATTCAATTATTAATATTTTAAAATCATTTTTTATTTGCTATTTCTAATAGTAGTAGAAAAAGTGTATAGCTTTTTATGGCAGTGTTTGAATACCAAAACCTTAGTAAATTTTATTAGTATCTCATGTCTATTTTAAACTTAAAAACATATTATCTTATTAATTTTCCAGGTTTAGGATGAACACTATACATATCCTGCAAACATTTAGTTTATTCATATTGAAATCCAATAGAACTGCTAAGGACTTAGGTGATTACTTAAAAGATGTTGATATTTCTCCTAAGTGCAGTAGGAAACCATAGAGACTTGGAGGCTGGTATGTTTGAGTCTCTGTGTGTGTATGAGATGTGTGAATATGGGTTGTGTGAGTATGTGATGTAATTGTGTTAATAGTTTATAAAGGGCCGGACGCGGTGGTTCACACCTGTAATCCCAGCACTTTGGGAGGCTGAGGCAGGCGGATCACGAGGTCAGGAGATCGAGACCATCCTGGCTCGAAAACCCGTCTCTACTAAAAATATAAAAAGTTAGCTGGGCGTGGTGGCGGGCGCCTGTAGTCCCAGCTACTCGGGAGGCTGAGGCAGGAGAAAGGCGTGAACCCGGGAGGCGGAGCTTGCAGTGAGCCAAGATTGCACCACTGCACTCCAGCCTGGGCGACAGAGCAAGACTCCACCTCAAAAAAAAAAAAAAAAAAAAAAAAGTATATAAAGGTCACTTTGACCACATTGTGTGGACAGTAGGATAGAGGAGATAGGTATGGATGTGGGGGATATTGAACCGGCTCAAGTGAAACAATGGTGGATGAAAAGATATATTGGTGACATAAATTCCAGAACTATTTCAATGGTGTTTACCAACATGCTGACTTGGAAGATACAAGTGTTTTATTCCATGACTTTGATGACCCCTTTATAGTCCATCCATTTGCTTATTTAATCCAAGAACTCCATTGGTTAGATGATTATAATATTCACAACCCAGGCCACTCAATGTTATATCTCCAATATTGTGGGGACATAGAATATTTATTGATTTTGAATAGCATTATTCTTATGCATTGGCCATGTTTTGCAGGCCTGGTGCAAACTTGAGATTGAATGGTCAGAAAGGAAAGTGTGGGAGTTGTATGCTTAGGATCTTACTTCTCAAACAGCATGGTATAGTATACGAAGTACTGATTCAGAATTTAGAGAAACCCTGGGTAATCTCTACTTTTGCTAGCTGCTAACCTTGGACAAAGTTCTTAACTTTCCTTGTAAATTTATTGGAGTAATAACTTTCTTGCAGATTTGTTGTAGGTAAAGGCAGAAATGCATGTAGATGACCTGGAAGGATGCTGAGCTTCTCCTAAATAGTATCTTTGGTATTCTATTATGATTACTTTTGGAGCAGAACATGGGCTTGCAGGCTAGTGTTAAATGCAAGGTAAAATTACTATTTTATATTTTGCCTGAAACTCAAATAAAGATAAATTTTTATAGTTACCATCAAGATGCTCAGGATAATAAGATCATTCATGTTCCACCAAGCATGAAAGTTTCATGTCTGCCTTGCTTTATTAGTGAAGATAATTTTTTCCTTGGCTATTTTTGGATGTGTTGAAACAAGGCAGTTTTATATTAACCAATGTAATTTTCCCCATCTCTCACATCAAGAAGTGAGCAGAAGTTGTCTGTCTAAGCATATAGTTTTCACATATCCCACATGCATCTGCAAAAACTTAACAATATCCTCTAGAACACAGGAAATCTTTCTTGGACAAAGTTCTGCTCATATTCAACCTCTCTTAGAACTAGAACTGAGTGTTACTCCTGCTCAGTGGCCCCGTTTCACTCCACCAAAGCTGACAGTGGGACATGTGTAATAGACTGAACTGGAAGTTGGAGGAAATGAAGTAAAATTACAGTTCTATCACATACTAGCTGTGGGAACATGGATATGTGACTTAACTCACCGAGCTTTATTTCATTGCAACCTGTAAATTGGGCACATATATATTACTTTGTCTCACAAGATTGCTATGAAGATTAAATAAAGGCACATGTAAAGACACCTGGAATAGTGCCCGGATGTGGTAGGCAGCTGTATCAACCC